TTTGTCCCGGCCCGGGAACCGAGGCCGGGACCTCTGCGTGGCAGACCAGTATGGTAACCGTTCGGTCACGGAGGCAGCATGTAATACTTTTTTTTGTACTATGAAGTGATTTTAATTTCACCAGCACCCTTAGCGCTCAGTTACACGACCACGCCTTCATGTACATTAATGGCGAATCTGAATTGTATTTACAAGGCAACAACATTTAAATTTCTCTGAATAATACAACCGCGCGGTCGCCGTGCGGCCGCCGCGTATACCAAATTCAAGCCAGTCTCGTCCGCATTTCCGGGACGCTCATTTAAGTTAAAACGTAAATGCTAAAGACATAGAGCGAATTTTGCCATGATAGTTAGACGCACGCAATGCTGTCAATACTGCTTGGCGGCAGAAATAGGTGAGGTTGCTACTGCTACTACAACTAATTAACGTAAGTAAACGTAATTTAAAAATAAAGGCATAAATGAAAAAAGAAATATATTTTAGATGAAAAATTACGACAACATAGAACAGTAAGTTGTATTAGAATACGCTAACAATAAGTACATAGTTCCAGGCTACCTTAGGATAGATAAATAGGGAGATGCAAAGGTGGTGCAAAGAATGTTTTCTAATAGTACTACTTAAAAAAAACACCCAACAACGTTTCAAAAGCACATGTGTCTTGTGCAGATGGCAAAAGAAAGAAAGGAAAACAAACAAACCAAACTCAAGATCCGCGCCAGAAGCGAAGCACGTTTTAATTCGTAACTTTTCGGGCTCGATGACTGCAGGCTGCAGCTCCCGTCACGTGACGGGAATCACAAAAGAACCACCGCCGTGCGAAGGGGGCGTATCCAGGCCGAAAGGGGGAGAGGTAAGTGCGGCAATAAAGGAAAGGCGTACAGAGGCACTTCTTTCAGGAAATTAGCTGTCACATTAGGTTGCTATTAGGAGAGAACTTGGTATTCGTTGATTAACCACCCCCGGATCGAATTTACGGGCTCTCGGCTTGTGGCCAACGTGGTTGGAATACTTAAGGGTTGAAAAGTCATTTGGAATACTAAATAACGAGGTCCTCGTTTCGAGGACGATTTGGTGATTTTCGAATTGGATTTTCTGTTTTGATGTTTCGAAGAATCTCGTTTGTATAACGAACAGATACCGGAATAGTTACAGTGTATTTCCAACGCTTCAAGTAACACAAGTGGTGTGGATAAGACGAAGGCTCCGGTTGCCAAGAACGCCCAATATTACATTCGTCGTTATCATTTTGCGATCACACTGGACGCGATACGACCTAACACTATCGTTACCTTCGTATTATGAAATGTTCGTACGAAATATTGGGCGTTCTTGACGACCGGAGTGAGGACATGCTCACGAGGTGAGCATGAACGAAAGAAGGTGGCTTAGAATGGCCAATATTACCCTACTTGTACTATACATGTGAAATGCAATAGATAAATGAGTGAATAACTTTTGAGTGAATAATTTGTAATCCCGGAATGATTGAAAACGAAAGCTTATAAAGATATTTTTCCTACAATTGGTATTATAAAGGAACATTTGATCGTACATCTGAAGTGCTTTTAACACGTGAAAGTCATAAAAATAATATAACTACACAAAACAGTTAAGAACAAAAAAGTTATCGACTTAAACATCTCTGCTGAAAAGTTGTAATTTTGAAGGCTTATTACACAACTTTTCTTCATAATAAACTACCGCCGTAAAGTTATTGCTTAAAAACACGCATCAAGAATATACAATACAACAAAACACAATATAAAAATTATTATGTTTTGTAAAAAGTTATGGAACAAAAATTCTTGTTTATGATGTTAATAATATCATAGTCCTAGGAGGTTATATAGGTAATAACAAACACTTCTTTAAAACATATAGCAGCTAATGAACAGGATCGAAAGCAAAAAGGTTTGACATAATCTCAGTACAGAGTACTAAAAAAACCGACCTCAAAAGTAAGTGGAATTACGCCTATTTGCTAAGTTTTATTAAAATATCCCCTAGTTCGCCACTATATAGGACTCTAGATACTGGAGATAATAAAAATCGGTTCTCACTACTCAAAGTATATTGAGAGAAAAACGCCTCGAATTAGAGAAATAGCAAAATCAACCATTAAAGTAATTGCTCCTAAATTAAAGTTAGGCGCTATTTATAAAAATGAATCTTCATGCGTGAACAGCCACCCTTCGAGGTGGATGATTTTCTTCAAAATGAAATGGGACCACTATGGAAGTACCCCCTTTCCAACAAAAAAAGAATCATGAAAATCGATTCACAAATACCGGAGTTATCGCGTAACATACACACAAAAAAAAGAACATACAGACGAATTGAGAACCTCCTCCTTTTTTGAAGTCGGTAAAAATGACAACTAAAGATAAAAAATATAGCATCTGTCAGCGGTGCAAATTAAATTGAAACTAGTTATGACTAATGAGCTACTTGTATTCGCCGCAAAAGCGAACAGAGCACTCCTTTATTTTTTACCTTCAAATATTTTGTTATAGTACCTACTAATAAACTAAATCATTATAACTTTTAACAAATAATCTGTATATGCCTATTTAGTTATATTATTGTGTAACTATGATAATAAAACTGATTTCTTTTGACAATTGAGAAACTTATTTATACCATGTGAAAGAAAACAATAAAAAAAGTGCACCGTTATTTTACACTTGTTTCAAAACACGAACGACTCACATAACTTCATTAAAGTACCGTTAAAACTTCAAAAACAAAATTCAGAACAATAACCGAACGAGCAACTTCGGCGTTCGTTTTTCAAAATAAAGTTTCGAACTAGAAAAAAAGAGCTGGCCATTTCCGAAGTTCGTTACACAGAGTTCGCGGTGTGTGCCACAGAAGCGCAATTAGGACAAAAGAGGGACAAAAGAGTGCAAAAAAGAGTTTCAAAAAGTGTCAAAGTGACCGATCCGTGTTGCAATCGACAGCCATTGTGAACTGTTTTATCGACAGTTCGTGAAAACGTTACGAAATACCTCACAACTCTTTACTCACCAATGGAGTCAAGTAGCTAAATAGTATTAACAAATGGATGATTAATTTTATTATGTTTACTACCATTTTTTAAATTTATTTTTTGCGAAATTACTTCACTAGTTTGTTATAATTATTAATGTAAAGGTGGGAAGAAAAACTTATGTAAGTTTAGTGCACACTTGCACTATATACTATAGCCATAGTTTCCCAACGTGGTCCCTAACCCGTGGCCTCCCAGTGGACGTTGAAGAGTACTAGGTAGCGGACTCCAAAATAATTCGAGGGCGTTGATGTTGTCCAGGCGTGCAAACGCATTTACAAATAGAAAAACCTGAATTATCTATATAAATTACACAAAATATATTTATAATAGTTTTATATATATGTAAAAAAAAATAATGTGAGACTATAAAAATATATTTTTATAGTCTCACATTACAATTAAGTTTCATTGAATGTCACGATGTTTGTCCACCATGATATTCAATTATTTTTGTGAAATTACTCCATTAGTTTGTTATAATTATTAATACAATGATCGAACACTTAGAAATAAATCACATGGGTCCGATTGGATTCGAACCATTGCTGGGAGACAGCAAACTCCTCCAACTAAGCCACAGAACGATAACCAACGGACCTTACGAATTTTCCCATGTGTTTATTGCACATCTTTGCTTTTAGTTTTCAACGAGTTCTTCTTCTGTGAAAAATCTATGAAATTATAACTCATATTACGTTCTACGTTTAGACATATATATCATTTAAAATTTTATTTAGTATAAATTATAATATTGTATAAACATTGCTAAATGTTAGTTTCTAAAACCTACTTGCTTATTTTTACAAATTCTCGTATAGAGTCGAGTATAACAGGAAAAATATTCAGTATTTTTTCCTTGACCCAACACTACCCATGACTATACCCAACGGTATAGGCCTCCCGTGATTTGTGCCATCCACCACGATTTTGCGCTAGTCTCACGTATAAATATTACAAATTAAGATTTTATAACCGCTCAAAATCCAGCTTATATTGCGAGATAATTTTCTGAAATACGAGACGTAACCAACAATATTAACAATTATTTAAATTTACGTCCCAAATAAATATAGACGTGTTTAATAAATCAAGTCTAAACAAATGGTTTATTTGCTTACGGAATGAGGGCTTAATTAATACGGCGTTATTTCAGGAAATGTACATAATATTGTATATAAGGCGATAATGGGCCGTATCACGTTTATGTGATCCGCACAAGTTCTGTAGAATAATTATGACGGTGGCAACACTAAAATTAAATTACGTATTTCGTTGTGCGACAAACGATCAGCTTTTTCACAATAACTACTAGAGTAATTTTCAGCTTAGTTTCGGCGGCAATTTTTATTATTGAAGTATTCGAGAATATTGTCGTGAAATTATTAAATAATATTGCTGGTTATTTATTCCATTCGAATATTAAAGAATGCTTCATGATAATATTTTCAATCGACTTCAAAAAAGAGGAGGGTATCAATTCGACTGTATTTTCTTTTTTTTTTTACGTATTTTACATTTGTGAACTGATTTTGATGATTTCTTTTGTTGGAAAGAGCTTACCTCAGTATTTGTGCTATTTAAATTTGAAGAAAATATTCCATATCTAAGGGTGGCAAGCCGGTAACCCATTTCAAGAAAACTTGGCAAATAGACGTACTTACACGAACGTTTGAAGTCGAGTTTTTTTCTATAAAAAGTTATATATAATAAAAATTGCCACCGACATATACGAAATTAAACCATTACACCGAAAATAACCACTATAGTGTTCAAAATAGAAATAGGAGAGGCTGTTTTTTTTCTATTATGTTATGACTTTGTAACGTCAAAGTTGGTAGCGAACGCGTAAAATATTTTTTAATCGTTTTTTTGCACAATTTCCCTTGCGATTTCGTAACTGCAAATTCATTGGACAAGTTTCAATTATGCTGTTGCTACTTACCGTCAATATTCTTCGATTATTGCTGCACGATTCTCGAAATTGGTGTGGTGTTGATACCTGTAAAAAAGATAGAAAATTTATATCATCTATTATGGGTATGAAAAAATATGTAGAACATAAAAGAACTTATATGAATGGAGGAAGCAAAGAAAAAACATTAACAGTGTGTATTATTTAACATCACAGGGGAAGAGAATTATGGTGACACATTGGGAGAACTGTACCTATGAACTTATAATGTAAGTTAAATGGAAAACATTGTCATGAAACCTGCATATTCAAAAGTTTGACAGCCCGCGTAAAAGCCCTTGTAAAGTCCCCAGCTCGTTGATTTACTCTTTTTTCTTTTTTATGTATTCAATCAAGATCAATCATTCAGTCACTTCTTTTTCTTTCTTTTAATTTTCACCCATTTATTTGAGTGGGCAAATGTTTCGCCATACAGCCTTTTCATAAAAATTCTATCCTAATTTTGTATTAATGGAAAAAGCGACAAACGCCAGTTATTTTAACTCTTTGAGTTTATCTCATATGTCACCAAGAGTAGATGTTATGTAATTGTATAAGCCTTTATGTTTTTCAGTAGGTTTTTTTGTTATAATATGAAGTGACTGGACGAACTGATGGTAAGCTACACGCTTTTGCATAACAGTTGCAGTGCCACAAAGAGCTTTAAATCGCAAAGATCTGAGGCGCACTGCCACTGCGCCCGTCACCCTGAGACATAAGTTGATAAGTCCCATGTGTCTGCAATTTCACCAGCACCCTTATCCTTCAAAACCGGAACATACTATGTGAATAGCAATTACGTGGCTCGACTCGGAAGAGACGCAGTTTCTATAAAGGAGAGGCAATCAAAGCTGCAGCATGCCTTACAAATGTTCTGTTTGTTGCCGATCTTTGTTTATGGTTTTTTGGAAAACTAAATACGCTAATTATTTTGTTTTGGATAATATATTTTAAATGCCTCTGTGGCGGAACGGTGACCATGCTGGACTGCCACGCAGAGGTCCCAGGTTCGATTCCCGGGCCGGTAGAAATATATGTATGGCCTCCATTTATTTCTCGTTAGTTTAGGTGTAATTACAAAAAATGGTTTCTATTTCTATTTGTACAATTTGTGCTTGTCTATGTGTGTGTCCATGGCACCCGCGACACAGGGTTACCTAGTGCGGGGCTATGTTGAGAGTGTGCGTTATTGTTATTACGATGTTGTAACACATTGAAATTTTAACTAAATTACCATTAAAGTTGCGTTAGGAAAATGCTTTACATCGAATCATAGGGCTTATAAGTGGCATTCCAGAACTTCCGCCGGGTGGGATACTTGGATGAAAGCTCATAGAATCGTCGTTCTTGGTCGTCGGCTGCCGCTTCCACTAGGTGGGACGGTGAGCTAACATCGAGGATGAGCCCGATTACGTCTCCTATGTCGATCATATAAGTACGTCAATAAAAGCCGTTACGTATTTGTAGCTTCAAGCGTCTCTCTTCACCCTGCCTCGCTTAGTATACCTATTACAATGTAAAAAAAAACTATGCACTGTAATTTACATTATATGTAACTTATGCCCTTTGTCTTAATTGTAATTTTGTTTCACATATAGGTGAAAATAAAGGTAGACGTTGGAGCATGTACACCTAAATAATGCATATTCACTGTCGCCTTGAAAATTCTAAATTATAAAATTTGTGAATTTTAAAAATTCTAAATTCTAAATAAGGTCTAAATTTTCCAGTAGTGGGGCGGATGATTTGTTGATAATGATGAGAGCGAACTTCTGTCTCTATTATTTTTAGTGCACACAAATAACAACTAGCTGTGATTTAAAATAACTACTTCCAAGTACTTGAAGCATATTTACTCCGTACTTTAGTAATAAATACTTAGTAAGCTTTACTCGGAAACTCTTTGATATCTTAATAACAATATCAATACAATACACGAGAACTTGTTAAGTAAGTTTGGTAATATAGCGAGAATAGTTTCTTCAACGCACAATAAAGATTTCTCTTCATTTACTATAGGTTAGTAAAGTATTATATTATTCAGGAAAAACAAATGAATGTAAAAAAGGGGGTAAGCAAAATAGCGCCGAGGATGAGTGTTCAGTGTTTTGAGAACTTGTTATTTACATTGTCGTGCATTTAGATTTGAAATCAATTCGTACTGTCAAATTGCACTGTCATATACGATATAAGAATCAAGAAATTACAAAGATGTTTTATATTATTTTGTACTATATCCCAACACAATGTAAACTATAAAAACATAACAATGCTTATTGAACTATTGTTAAACATTTTTTTTATAATTTTAAATTAGGGGACGAACAAGTCGTGCGCCTGATGGTGACCTATACGCCTGTCCATAACAGTTGTAGTGCCACACAGAGCTTAACATCGCAAAGATCTGACACTGCCACTGCGCGACACCCTGAGAGATAAGTTGACAAGTCCCATGTGCCTGTAATTTCACATTACTGTTTAGCGGCGGAAATAGGTAAGGTAGAAGTACTTGCCTGGACGAACTCTTTTACAAGGAGCTTTTCTGCAACTAAGACTGCTTTTTACAAAGATTTTAGATTATTAATACAAAGGTCGTGCACAAAGAAAAATTCATTCCATCCGGCTGGACTCGAACCAGTGACTTCACCATAATGTGGCTAACGCTCTCGCACCTGAGCTTCGGAACAAACAAGCAGATCTCGCTTGATCTCTTCGTTTTTGGTTTTAACGACATTTTTGCCGTAGCCATCTGTGAGAAATCTATGAAAGTATTAAATGAAAGTATCCCTTTACAGCTACCTTTACAGCTACCAGGGCCGTACAAGAGATGTCGATTTAATAATTTATAAAAATGAAAAGTTTTAAATACGGAAAAAAGTTGTTTCAATTCCACAGTGTATCAAAAACCTATAAACTATAATATAATATGTAGTATATTTTATAAAGAAATCATTCATTGATTCTTTTGTTTATATACAATTTGGAAGACTTACAGCAATTAGAAAGAAATATTTATGATAGTATACTGTAACTGTAGTATAATAAAAAAAAACATAGTGATACCAAATCTTTACGACACGCGCTATTAATTTATGTGAAAAGGCTCGAGACTCGTGCAATGAAATAAAACTTTGAAATATTAATTGTAGAGCGCAATTAATACCCTTATTAACAAAGAAAAAATAATTTCAGCTGCTCTGAAAACGTGTTAAAAATATAATTTTATTTATAAACTTGGTTTATGTTTTGTTCACACGAAACTTTCGCCGTCATTTACAACACAATAATGTTTATATTTTTAACAATGTTAGTTGGAAAATAACGCTAGTTATAAGATCGTCTTTTTTATCATGTTTTATGATAGGTGGGAGAACGAAAAGGGAGGAAATTTGTAGAATTCAAATATATCGAAATTAAGGCACGTGTTACGTTGTTATCTAAATCAATTTGTATTCCCCAGTCGAACAAATTTATTGTGAGCGGCGTGCGTTTGACAGTCGAAGGCGCGTTTACGAAGCTCGTTGCGGCCGCGTGCCCTTTACAAACTCACTTCACGCATGATTTGCGCTTGTCCGTGCTCACTGTTCACGGGTGAGCTGAGTTTTGTAGCTTAATTTACGCCAATTTTATATTTAGCTAAACATTGCCTTTGAAGTAGTTTTATTTATATTACATTTTGTGTTTTAAAAGTATCTTGATAGATGGTAAGTACGCGCGCTATGTTAAATGTTTTCTTGTAACATAAGCTTAGGCAAGAGACTTGAAATAAAACTAATCAACGGCTGTAACCTCATAGCTGGGTTCGGGAATGTATCCGAGCGGGCCGACGTAAGAGCCGACGCAATTTGCAGTAAATAAGGATATCGGTTTAGCGTCATTATCCCAGCGCGGCCCGCGATATAGCGGACCTCGTAAACGCCTCCAGTTAATGAGTTATGCCGCCGCTGCCGCTGTGTTGTGTTGTACTCTGTGGTTTTCTTAGAAGTGGATTTATTACACTCATAGCGCTAGCCTTTGCATTAACGGCCCCAGCAATTTTTGTAATTTGAATTTCCTTACATTGTAGAATCTCATTTTCCTGCATAGCAAAGTACTAGAGCACTAAAACCTGTCTTATCTTTTGAATAGCGTGCAGTGAACTGCAAGCATCTAATTAGAGTTTACATTTAGGGTATATTCCGCTAGAATATGTCAGCGTCTAAACATAAATTCAAATCATCCAGCGGTCTTTAAGTTTGAGTGCTGAAACAAGTACAGTTTCATTTTACGACGGTAGTTTACCGTGCCGGTATACGATACGGTTTATGTTTCTACCTCGAGCGCTGTTAAATAAGTATTACTTAATTCGCAAAGTAAGTTACGTAAATTACAATTTCACGTTTTTGCGTCCGTTACTTTTTGAGGTTGTTTAATTTTATGATGATATTATTGTTTGTAATTGAAATCTAGAATAATTTCGATCTCTGCTTCTTAGCGTCGTTATCGGGAGCATAACAGTTTTATTCGAATTCGTTAGGGTTACACAGCTTAACCTAGGAGTGGCTGAGGCGACTGGGCTAAATAGAACGCGTTTGACGTCCCCGGCAGACTTGACGGGACAAAGGACGTTCCGAGATGGATTCTAATTACGACAGACCGTTATGCAAATCGGGGGCCGGGGGGCTGGGGTCTCTGTCTCTAATAAACATGCGCGGCTCTTGCGGTCAGCGGCCAAATTGTTCACCCTCCCCATAAAACCGCTCGGAATTGTAGTGCGCTCTCTCAACAATTAGCTACTCTGTAATCAAGCCGCTTTTTAACCCGCTGGAACGGGTTTGTCGGACCTCTTTATTACGTTTGCTGTATGCTCAATTGATAGTCAATGGGCTTGAAATTAATAGAATGGTGCTTTGTGTTTGCAGCTGTTATTCGTCGAGTTCTGATTTAAGTTGCAAGGATTTTATATTGTCAAGTTCATATAATAATATACAACATTTATCTCACGATATGCGAACCAATTTAGCTGGCAGATGCGTTCGGGCAAATTGTACAATGTTCTGCAGAATCGC